CCTCCAGAAGCGGTGAATGCTCCAACACTGGAAGTTTTTAAGAAGAGACTGGACAGCCATTTGTCCGAAATGGTGTAGGGTTTCCTGCCTGAGCAGGGGGTTGGACTCGATGACCTCCAAGGTCCCTTCCAACTTTATTATTATTATTATTATTATTATTATTATTATTATTATTATTATTATTATTATTATTATTATTGTTGTTGTTGTTGTTGTTGTTGTTGTTGTTGTTGTTATTATTATTATTATTATTATTTTCCCTTCCTTTCCAAGTTATTGGATCGTCGGGAACTATCTGAGGACCGGAAAAGAGCTGATGTAGTCCCCATCTTCAAAAAAGGAAGAAGAAAAAAAAACAGATCCAGGAAATTACAGACCATGACGCCTGGGAAGGGATCTCGGAAAAGACAATCAAGCAACCAATTTGCAAACACCCAGAAGCAAACAAGGATATAAACAGAAGCCAACACGGGCTCGTCAAAAACAGATCGTGCCAAACACATCTTATTTCGTTCTTTGACAAAGTGAACCAAATGAGTAGATCAGCGAAATGCTGTGGATGTAGATAAGAGGTAATTCTCAACTTACGACCACACAACGGAGCCCCAAATTTATGTTGTTCAGTGGGAAATGTGTCAAGTGAGTTTTGCCTCATTTTACAACTTTTTTTTTTTGCCACGTTTGTTAAGCGAATCACTGCAGTTGTTAAGTTAGGAAGACGGTCAAGTGATTTTGCTTGTCAGAAGTCGCAAAAGGGGATCACATGACCTTGGGACACTGCAACAGTCATAAATAGAAGTCAATTGTCGAGCATCTGCATTTAAATTACCTGACCATGGGGATGCCACAACGGTCTTAAGTGTGAAAAATGGTCGTAAGTCCATTTTTTTCAGTGCCATTGTAACTTTGAGTGCTCACTAAACAAATTGTTATAAGTTGAGGACTACCTGTACTTAGATTTCATTGAAGCATTTGATAAAATAGACCTCAACCAACTTCAATGGTTCTGTTTGTGGATGCTCCATCAATGGAGGCTTTCAAAAAGAGATTGGACAACCATTTGTCTGAAATGGTGTAGGGCAGGGGTGTCAAACTGCCAGCCCGCGGGCCAGTTTCATCATACCGGAGCCACGCCTACCCCATTGCCGGCAATGGCGAAAAAGCTCCGATACGTCATGCGACGTCACGAGTTTGACATGCCTGGTGTAGGAGGTCTCCTGCTCAAGCAGGGGGTTGGACTAGAAGACCTCCGAGGTCCTTTCAAACACTATCATTCTATGTTCTATGTTCATGTTATTGAATAGCAACCAATGTTTAGGATATACATGTCATTATTGGGCCAATCTATAACATAAGTGAATAGCTTTTACTGTCCTCTTTTATCAGATATGAGTGCCAAAATACAGATGGGACTCATACTGGACTATATATGCCTATTTCACTGGATTGTGTGCTGGATGGCTTCATTCCAGCCTTTTGTGCAGAAATATTCCATATTAGGAAGTGAGGGGGAAAGGGCGGGGGGGGGGGACATTATTAATTATACATCATTAATTTTATTACCATTTATTCTATTCCAGGATCCAAATAAAAAAGTTGGGGTCTTGGGAGTCCAAGTAGACAATCACTTAAATATGAGGCAACAACATGTGGTGGCAGCCAACAAAGCCAATCCAATCCTAGGCTGTTAATAGCGGGATAGAATCAAGATCACGTGAAGTATTAGTACTGCTTTATAATGCCTTGGTAAGACCACACTTGGAATATTGCATCCAGTTTTGGTCTCCACGATTTAAAAAAGATGTGGAGAAAAAGTGCAGAGAAGAGCAACCAAGATGATTAGGGGACTGGAGGCTAAAACATGCGAAGAACTTTGGCAGGAATTGGGTATGTCTAGTCTAGTGAAAAGAAGGACTAAGATATGATAGCAATGTTTCAGTATTTGGGGGGCTGCCACAAAGGGGGGCAAACTATTTTCCAAAGCACCAGAAGGCAAGACAAGAACCAGTGGATAGAAGCTAACCAAGGAGGGAAGCAACCTAGAACTATGGAGAAATTTCCTAACAGTGAAAACAATCAACCAGAGGAATGGCTTGTTTTCAGAAGCTGTGGGTGCCCCATCACTGGTGACTTTCAAGAAGAGACTGGACAGCCATTTGTCTGAAATGGTATAGCCTCTCCTGCTTGAGCAGAGGGCTGGACTGGAAGACCTCCAAGACTGTTGTATTGTATTATATTGTATTGTATTCTTTCCAGTTGTTCTGTTCTGTTCTATTCTATTCTATTCCCAATCTCTATTCTATTCTATTCTATTTCCAATCTCTATTCTATTCTATTCTATTACTAATCTCTGTTCTATTCTATTCTATTAATTCTACTCTACTCTACCATGTATCTGCTTATTTATTTATATTTGTTCTGCATTATTTAAAAAATAATAATCTCAAAAGCAAGAATCTAAAAGGGATGTTTACATATTTAGTGGCTTCTTCTCTGTATATTAATCCTTAAAGAGGCAATTTTAGATTGTTCATTTCCTAACCTTTTAATAGACTTGCTGCTGTGTCTGCTATCCTAGAGATCATAAAATTACAAACTAATAAACACAAGGAAGGTTACATTTGTGTCAACCCCCTTTTTTTTTTCAATGAACGGTCACTAAACGAACGGTTGTAAGGTGAGGACTGCCTGTATAGAGTAACGTCAGTTCTTCCTCCCCTGGGCTCCCGTCCAACCTTGGTCACTCTGGGGATGGAAGGAGCCAAGGTCCTGGTTTTGCACAAAACCTCGGATTTAGAGATCAGAACGTAAACCTAGATTTAACCAAGTTCTAATGCAGCCCTGAAGGGTGTCCTGGCGTGACCCTGGGGAAGAGAGGAAGCGGCTTCACTGAACCACCGTGTCCTTTGGCTTCCAGTCTCGCCATCCACCCCACCCTCACCCCAAAAGACGTAGGGAAACCCCCCCCTCAGCCCCTCCCCTACCGGTGTCCCCGATGATAACGTATTTGAAAAGGTAGGCATATGACATGGCGCTGGAGGCTCCGGAAGCCCAGCCCCAACCGCCGCTCTCATTCCCTCCACCCTCACTTGGACGCTCTGGTTTTCCTTTTCCGGCTTCTTTATGAAGGCCCGGGGGAAAAAAAAAAAAAACCCCAACACCTTTGTCTCGTCCAGGAGCCGCTCCGGCCTCGAAGGCGGCAGCGACGCTCTAGGCCAGTGTTTCTCAACCTCGACAATTTTAAGGCATGTGGACTTCAACTCCCAGAATTCCACAGCCAGCATTGCTGGCTGTGGAATTGTGGGAGTTGAAGTCCACGTGCCTTAAAATTGTCGAGGTTGAGAAACACTGCCAGTCTAGACAACTCGGAAGTACAAAGTCCGCGGACACCCACCCACTCTCTCATTCAACCGTTTGGGGGGGGGGAGCGGGGGGAAAAGGCTCCGTCTTTGACGTCACATCCGGCAAAAAACTTCTGCCGGCTTTTCCCCGCTCAGCTTCGAACGCGGGGGCCGCTCTACCGTGTCCTCTTCACTGCCCCGCGAGGCCTGGGGGAGCCGCTTCCGGCTCGAGCTCTCGCCGCCTTAACGGCTTCGGCGGGCGGGGTGGGGTGGGGTGTGGGGCGCCTGAGGTCAACTTTACAACCGGTGGGGAGACCTTCTCCCTCAGTTCCTCCCGCTTTCCCGACACCCCCCCCCCAAACTCAGACCACCCGGACGCCTTTCCCTGAAGGGGGCGGCAACGTGGGGCGGAAGTGACGCGTCCCCGGCCGTCGCCTGGCTGTGGGCGGCATCCGTTCCGGTTCCGGTCTGAGAGCCTGGAGGGAGAAAGCAGGAGGGGAGGGGGAGAGTCTGGTGGGGTCTCCCCCTCTTCGTCGCGGCTCCGAAGCGGCGGCGGCCATGGAGGTGAGGGACCGAGCCGGGGAGGGGGGGCGTGTTAACGGCCGTCGGCCGTGGGGCGGGAGGCTCCGAGGAGAAGGGGCTCGGGCGTCGGTCTGGGATGGAGGGGCTGGCATAAAGGGAAGCCGAAGGGACGCCGGAGCGGGAGGTGGGTTCCCCTCGGGGTCTCGGCTTGCTCTTTCCCAGCCCTTCCCGACGTTCCTCTCCCTCTCCGGGGATGCGGGACTCCAACTCCAATCATCCTCAGCCGCCCCTCTGAGCCAATCCGGGCAGGGGGGGCTCCCGAGACGGATGGATTGGCAGATGCCGTTGGGGGGGGCTGCGGGGGGGGGGGACAACGGCTTGTTATGTGCTCTTCCCATCGTCAATGGAGATTCTCAGCCATCCAGGTCCTGGTTGTCCCAAAGGTGCTTTTTTTTCAGGAAGGCAACTGGACTTCCTTGTTTTTTTTTGTTTTTTTTTCTTTGAAGACGTTTCGCTTCTCCTCCAAGAAGCTTCTTCAGCTCTGAGTGGATGGTGGGAGAATGGAAGGATTTATACTCCTTTGCAGTCATCTGGTCGTTTGCATTCTTTTAGAGGATTGTTGAGGCCACCTGGAGGTTTATCTGTGTCCTCAGGGTCACCTGAGTGGTACAAAAGGGTATGGAGTAGATTACAGGAACCATTTGCGCTTCAGTCTGAGATGCAGACAACACAGCCTCATTCATCCCCAACAGCCTGTGCCTGTCTTCAACCCTGAAGGCACACAAGGCAAAAAACACATCCTCCAGCCAAGAAGGCTCCACACCCATTTGCACTACTCAGGTGACCCTGAGGACACAGGTAAACCTCCAGGTGACTTCAACGACTCTCTAAAACAGTGTTTCTCAACCTTGACAATTTTAAGGCATGTGGACTTCAACTCCCAGAATTCCACAGCTAGCAATGCTGGCTGTGGAATTCTGGGAGTTGAAGTCCACATGCCTTAAAATTGTCAAGGTTGAGAAACACTGCTCTAAAAGGATGCAAATGACCAGCTGTCTGCAAGGAGTATAAATCCTTCCATTCCCCGCCATCCCAGTCAGAGCGGAAGAAGCTTCTTGGATGAGAAGTGAAACATCTTCAAAGAAAAAAAAAACACAGTCCAGTTGCCTTGTGAGAAAGCACCTTTGGGATAACTTTTGTCACTGCTCGTGTTCCCTTCATTGTATGAACATGTGTCCATCAAGGCCGTATGGATCTGTATAGTAGAGTTCACTGTGTGTGACAAACTAAGACAGGCATGTCAAACTGCCGGCCCGCAGGCCGGATGCGTCACGCTGAAACTGTGCCCACCCCATTGCCGACAATGGGGAAAAATCCTGATATGTCACGCGACGTCATATGACATTGCGAGTTTGACATGCCTGAACTAGAACATTAGGGTGATGTGGAAGACAACGGCTGTCACAGCTATGAGGAGTGCCTTGTTTGGCTCTGTTATAGCTTCCACCTGCCTGCTTCAGGTATCTCGGATTTCGAAGGCTAAAATATCAGGATGTGAAGGTAGTACAGGTAGTCCTTGACTTATGACCACCATTGAGCCCCAAATTGATGTTGCTAAGTGAGTTTTGCCCCGTTTTATGACTTTCCTTGCCACATTGATTAAGTGAATCACCGCACTTGTTAAATTAGTAACATGGTTGTTAAGTGAGTCTGGCTTTCCCATTGACTTTGATTGTCAGAAGGTCACAAAAGGTGATCACGTGATCCCGGGACACTGCAACCATCCTAAATACATGCCAGTTGCCAAGCATCTGAATTTTGATCACATGACCATGGGGATGCTGAAAAGGTTCTTAAATGTGAAAATTGGTCATAAGTTACTTTTTTCCAGTGCTGTTTTAACTCCAAACGGTCACTAAACAAACTTGTAAGTCAAGGACTACCTGTATTAGTTCTGGGAGGCTAATGGCCTCCTTATTTATACATTGCGGGTATAAAAAAATCAAAGGAGCATGGGTCAGAGCATGGCCAGAAAATGCAAAAGATAATGAGAGGGGAAAAAAATTATCCTGAAAAATGTGACAGGATCAGCATGAAAAATACTAGATGTAAACAAACACAGAATAAGAACAACATGTTCAGGAACCAGGCATAGCTTAATCATATGCTATGGGAGAGAAGCCAGCCTATACATTATTATCGAAAGATAATAATTATGGACTGAGTATGTGAAATTTTTAGTTCCCCGTTAATAATTATCAAACAGAAAGCCTTGGCGTTATTAAAATTCAGTGGTTTTCAACTCTGGCCATTTTTTCCTCCTAAAACAGGGGTGTCAAGCTCGCAATGTCACGTGACGTGTCGCGACGTATTGGGACTTTTTTTCCATTGCTGGCAATGGGATGGGCGCGGTTTCGCCATGACGCATCCGGCCTGCAGGCCAGCAGTTTGACACCCCTGTCCTAAACCTATGTATAATTTTTTTTAAGTTACAATGCAATTAGGCTAAAACTCCTATGGAATTTTCTGACAATGGTTAAGAAGGAGCTCACTTTCTGTATGAACATGTCTGCAATCCTTTGGGATCTTTTACAGTCCTGCTATATGTAATATTGCTTCCAGGATGATTGGGTATTTAGATCGAACACTGGGTATTTTATGCTTACGCTTTACAATTTCCTGTTGGACAAGAGAAATTGGATGGAAATTTTGTTCATGGATCTTTTGGCTTCCTAAGTTAGGATGGATAGCACTCAACTCTGTATGTGGGAAATCTCTCTGGTTTATGTTAATCCCCAGGAGTTTTTCTACACACAACGGAGTGTTTCATTGTTTATTCTCCTTTAACATATGGTAGACTTTTGTTACACATTTGTCCCAGAGCCTGTATGTCACCTTTTGCTGAGAGGGAGGAGTTATGAACCCCAGTGTACCTGGGGCCCTTGCACATCTATGATCTTCACTGAAGCTGTGCTGAAATGGAACATGTTACTGAAGCACAGTTCATGTTACTGTGGAGCAGTATTTCTCAACCTTGGGAACCTGAAGATGTATAAACGTCAATTTCTGGTTGACGTTCATACAATTAGAAGCTGTCAAGGTTGAGAAACATGGCAGTAGAACAGAGGTGGGAAATTAATTTTTCCAAGGAACCACATGAGAAACTGGCACCGTTGTGGAGGGCTGAACTAAAAGGACCGTGAAGGTGCATAGACCTGCACGCACATATATAAATTGGAAAAAAAAAAATAGTCACCTTCAAAATAAAATCGAGCCACGTGGTCCAGACAGGGACAGCCAAAGGGCTGGATGTGACTCAGGGGTCGTAAAACGCCCAGGTCTGCTCTAGAATATGTCTGGCCTGCATAATAAGTGCAGTTGCATTGCCCAGATAAGATAAATCGTCATTTATTTAATCGCTTGAAAACTGGGTGTTGCCTCTTAACGTGCAGGGAACTCCAGGTCTGAAAAGGCATCTGAACGTTGCTGGTTGCAAGTTGGTTCAACAGTTAAACACTTACCTGCTTCTGCTGACTGTGGTTGCTTCTTGCTCTGCTTTTTTTTTTTCCACCCTTCTTTTTTTACTGCAGCGGATTTGACACATCCTAAGTGCCCGCTGAGAGGCTGCTGTGTTTAGCTCTGGGTCTTTGAAATAAGCAGACTCAGCAGCTTTTGAAAGACTGGCAACCTGCTGAAGGAATATCTTGGAATGATGTGCCAATGGTGCTTCCAAGGGGAGATTTCATCCTGCTGCCACTTTTTCTGAATCAGTAACAGGACCTGTCTCTGCTACTGAGTTTTGAAAAGCTGCTGGGGCTGCAGATATTACCAGTGGAAACGCTATAGCAAGCTTCACATACACGCTTTCACCTCAACAACTGGTTTTTTCCCCCTCCTCCTCCCATGGCTGGTCATCCTTTGCTTTGGATTTCTGGAATTTGTGCTTAATTTATGATATTTCTATCCCCTACCTCCACAAAAAGATATCAAGCCCTCCCTGGCCTAGCCAAACTTTCCAACACTGCAACATTGCCACGAGGCTTGTGATAAAGAGAAGCACTTTGTGGCACGGCCTTTGTATGTAAACCTGACCCAGCCAGGCTGTGAGTAGAGAATCCGTATTAACTCTGCTCTGTGATGTTTCATGACTTAACATTTTCCAAGCGATTCAAAGACAGTTAACGAAGGAGTATCTTTCGATGAAGATTCTCAGTCATCCAGGCAAGAGATGTCAGAAATGGTCTGAAGGCTGAATCATGGCAATTTTGGTCCCATTGTAATGATTCAACCTTCAGAGTATCGTTTTCACATTCAGTTGTCAATGATCCTATGCCGGTCCCCATCAGACTGTCATTATATCGTTAAACAAGGTTTGTTGAATAGGTCAGTAGGGTCACCTGTCAGGCTAAACCAGAGGGTTAGACTTCTAGACCGGGGTGAGCAACCTTGGCTCTTTTATGACTTGTGGACTTCAGTACCCAGAATTGCTGAACCAGCCATGCTGAAGCTCAGGAATTCTGGGAGTTGAAGTCCACAAGTCATAAAAGAGCCAAGGTTGCCTACCCCTGTAATCTAAACCAAGACAGTTGGGCTCACGTTTTGCCAAAGCCATACAAACCATAGTGTGGCTCAACCTCATGTCTGACTGTTGCCTTTGTCTCTTAGTGCAAATTTGGCAACTTTTAAGACTTGGGGTGGGGGAGGACTTCAGCTCCCAGAATTCCTCGGCCAGCATAGCTAGCTGAGGAATTCTGGGAGTTGAAGGCCGCAAGTCTTAATGTTTGCCAAGTTCGGAGCCCCCCTGTCTTAGTGTACCAATTTACACTTTTGTAAAAGTGGCTATGAAAAACCCTCCAAGACAGTCTGACCCCCCCCTTTGAGAAAAAGACAGTGAATTCTTTGGGGGGGGGGGCAGGAAGCCGTTCTAAAACTGCAATAGGTTTCATAAACTCTAGCTATACAAATGTTGTGGCTTTAGCACAGCCGCTCCTGTTGTGTTTCTGGTTGTAAGATAAGGGAAGAGAAACTGATTGACGTATGTTTTCCTTTCTCTCCTAAGTTCCCCGGGGGAAATGAGAATTACCTGGCTATCACGGGGACGACCCACCCTTTCCTGTCGGGGGCTGAGGTGAGACGGCAATCAGGCTGGTATTTTGCTTGCAGGGACTGCGGGCGGGACAGCGGGCGGCTGTGCTGCGTGGTTGGACTTGGGAGTCAAATGGACTATTTGTAGTTTAGGGCAGGGCTTTTCAACCTTTTCACCCATTGTACCACTTTTACAATATGACAATATCCGAGTATCACCAGTCGCCTAGCAAGGTGTCAAAAACTTGATGACCCCCCCCCTCAAAAAAGGAAAAAAGTGATAAAAGTACAGCTAGTCCTTGTCTTACAACAGTTCGCTTAATGACTGTTCGAAGTTACAATGGTGCTGAAAAAAGTGCCCCCCAAGCCACAGCCGAGCAAGACACCTGCCTGCCCATCGGCGGCGCTCTTCCTCCTGCCCGAGGTTTTCATTGTTGTGAGCATTTCTGTTGAGGATTGGCAGCGGGGGTGGGGTGGGGTGGGGGTTTGGTTTTTATTCCCCCCGTCTGCTGGGTGGTTGCATCAGGTTTTGGTCACTTCACAAGACCCTGGGACACTGTGACCGTTATAAATATGAATCAGTTGCCAAGCATCTGAATGTAAATCACAAGACCCTGATTGGTGCTTCTTCAGGGCTCAGCAGAAGCGCCAGGATCAGTGCCGAGCTCCAGCTGGATCCTGGCACTGATCCTGGCGCTTCCGCTGAGCCCTGACAGCCCCGAAGAAGCGCCGATCAGCTGGAAAACGGCACTGATCCTGGCGCTTCCGCTGAGCCCTGACAGCCCTGCAGCTCCAGCCATCTCTCACTCAGGCTTGTGCGGTGCTGCCACCGGTTCAGCTCATTCCCCTCCCCCGCTACCACTTTTCTAGGATGGTCGCGTACCACCTGCCAGGTGTCAATGTACCACAGGTGGTACCCGTACCACTGGTTGAAAAGCCCTGGTTTAGGGTACAGCAAGATCATTTGCATGCTGAAGGCCGCCGATCTAAGTTGCAATGTTAGCTCATTTGCAGTGCTAGAAGTTCAGAGTCAGGCACTTTCAGCCGGACGAGTTTCAAACATAGGCTGCTCGGTAAAGCCGATAGGCTTACAGACGATTGGATGCTTATGAATGTAACTTGCCCCTGGGAAGACCCCTTATCTGATCTCCCCCAGATTGATGTGTTAAAAATGTCCGAATGGTCGTTTTATTAATCCACGTGATGGATAATCCACATAAACGGGTTGCTGGTTCGGCCCAGTTTACGACATATTAATAATAATAATAATAATAATAATAATAATAATAATAATAATAATAATAATAATATATAAAGTCAAAATTGAGAAGACAGCAACAGACAGTAAGTGCCGCCTATGCAAAGAAGCTGAAGAAACAGTGGACCACCTGGTAAGCTGCTGCAAGAAGATCGCACAGACTGACTACAAGCAGCGGCATGACAAAGTAGCAACAATGGTGCATTGGAAGATCTGCAAGAAATATCATTTGCCTGCAAGCAAAAACTGGTGGGATCATAAAATAGAGAAAGTCATAGAAAATGATAAAATTAAACTGCTCTGGGACTTCAGAATTCAAACAGACAAGCACCTGCAACATAACACCCCAGACTTAACAATTGTCGATAAGAAAGACAAAAAAAGTCTGGATAGTGGACGTGGCAGTGCCCGGAGACAGCAGAATAGATGAGAAAGAACTGGAGAAGATAACAAAATACAGAGACCTACAAATAGAAATAGAAAGACTGGCAAAAGCAAGCAAGGGTAGTACCAATAGTAATAGGCGCCTTGGGTGCAATCCCAAAACAACTGGAGCACCACTTGAACACCATCATTGGCATTGACAGATTCGCTATTAGTCAATTGCAAAAGGCGGCCTTACTAGGAACTGCTTCCATCCTGCGACGATATCTGTAATACCATCAAACATCAACATCTGCCTATCCCAGGTCCTGGGTAAGGACTCGATAGGTAGACAAAATGCCAAATCCAGTCTGAACATCTGGCTAACTGTGTGATGATCCATAATAATAATAATAAAGTTGGAAGGGACCTTGGAGGTCATCTAGTCCAACCTCCTGCTCAGGCAGGAAACCCTATACTATTTCAGACAAATGGGCTGTCTTGTCTCTTAAAAACTTCCAGTGTTGGAGCATTCACCGCTTCTGGAGGCAGGTTGTTCCACTGGTTAATTGTTCTAACTGTCAGGAAGTTTCTCCTCAGTTCTAGGTTGCTTCTCTCTTTGGAGAATAGCTTGACTCCCTCTTCTTTGGGGCAGCCCCTGAGATATTGGCACACTGCTATCATGTCCCCCCTCGTCCTTCTCCTCAGATTCTTTTACTGCGCCGTTCGTAATTTCATCTACACATATTTTCATTCAAACTCGGAGAAAACCTCCCTTCCCTCTTCAACCCAGGTGCCAGGTCTAAATCTAGAAACCACAATTTCCTGATAACAAGGGGAAGGAGGTTTTTTTTTTTCATCGACGTAATAAAAAATAAACTCGCAACAGAGGAGCATCAGGTGACGTTTCCATAGAGTTAAAAAAAACTATTGAAGTTTGGAAAAAAAAAATTGCCAAGCTGAAAGACCCTGGTGAGATGAAGGTGCAGTTGGGAAGCAGTGGCTGTGCTATGGATGATGGGTTCCCTCTCTGCCCTTACTCAAAGCACAGTTCCTTTATTTGCTCGGGGTCCAGGCTGCTGCTGCTGGGGCTGAAATTTTTGGTTCATTGGTTCCTTGCTTCTCCTGCTTTTTTGGTTCCTTCCTCTATCGGATTGGTTATCTTACAGCTTCAAGGGACGAAGTCATTTCAGGATTGGTGAACGCACGTTCTGCAGCTCGGCTTGGGAACGACCAATTGCCAAGAACGTTGTTAAAATGCACGTTTAGAAGATCGTTTCATCTAACCTTTTCACCCATTGTACCACTTTTAGGATATGGCAATATCCAAGTACTACCAGTCACCTAGCAAGGTGTCAAAAACTTGATGATCAAAAAAAAAAAAGGAAAGGAAAAAAATGATGAAGTACAGGTAGTCCTCGACTTACAACAGTTCGCTTAGTGACTGTTCGAAGTTACAATGGCACTGAAAAAAGTTCCCCCAAGCCACAGCCGAGCAAGACACCTGCCCGCCCACCCAGCTGCACTCTTCCTCCTGTTCGAGGTTTTCATTGTTGAGGATTGGCAGCGGGGGTGGGGTGGGGGGGTGTTTGGTTTTTATTCCCCCCATCTGCTGGGTGGTTGCAGCAGGTTTTGGTCAGTTCACATGACCCTGGGACACTGTGACTGTCATAAATATGAATCAGTTGCCAAGCATCTGAATGTAAATCACAAGAGCCTGGAGATGCTGCAACATTCCAGTTGATCGATGCTTCTTCTGGGCTCAGCAGAAGCACCAGGATCAGCGCCAAGCTCCAGCTGGAGCTTGGCGCTGATCCTGGTGCTTCTGCTGAGCCCTGACAGCCCTGCAGCTCCAGCCATCTTTCGCTCAGGCTTGTGCGGTGCTGCCACCGGTTCAGCTCATTCCTCTCCCCCGCTACCACTTTTCTAGGATGGCCGCGTACCACGTGCCAGGTGCCAATGTACCACAGGTGGTACCCGTACCACTGGTTGAAAAGCCCTGGTCTAACCCTCCCAAGTCCTTGCGTCCAGAGCCATGTTTATCCTATTTTATCCCTCAGCTGGCTAAAAGGGGAAAGCCAGAAAACCAGCTTTGCAATTTCAAGATGGCATACGTAGCTCTCTCGTTTCATGTAACAAAGACACTGGAAAAACAAAAAGTAACTTACAACCGATCCTTGCGCTAATACGCGTTGCAGCATCCCCACAGTGAAATGTCTATGGAGATTCTGCAAGGGATAGAAATCCTTTAATTCCCCAGCATTTAGTCAGAACTGAGGACGCTTCTTGGATGAAAAGCGAAACGGTTTCAAGGAAAAAAAAACCCCACCCATCTTTTGAAAAAGCACCTTTGGGATCCCCGTAGGGAAATAATCAGAATTTGGGCACTTGGCCACCGACGTGTATTTATAATGGTCGTAACTGTCCCGGGGTCATCTGATCATTTCAGATGTTCCCAGCTGGCTTCTGTCAAGCAAAGTCAATGAGGAAATCCTGGATTTGCTTTAACGACCACGTGATCCACTTAACAGCCACAATGGTTCACTTACCAACCTTGGCAAAAAAAATATCTCAATTGTCTTGCTTAGCAACAAAAATTCTGGACCCATTTGTCGTAAGTGAAGGACTACGTGTAATTCAGCTCCCACAAGCAATTCCAACCAGTTGCATAGCAAGCAGGACTTTGACAGACACTTCAAGCCTCCTACAGGACAATAATAATTCATAATAATATCTATGCATTAAATTTATGTGTTGCCTGTCTCATATCGAGCAACTCTGGTCGGATCAATAAGAATGAAAGAACTGTTTTTATCTATAATCTGGTTGTAGGGAAGTTGAGAGAAATATTTTGGAAGAATGTTGAATTCTTCCAAAGCGTGTTGGATACCGGGGGAATTTATATTCGTGTTGATTGACTTGGTATCACACACGCTCAAATATTAGCATTTTTACCTGTTTCGTCAAGTCTTGCTAATATAGTGCATCGCTAATAAGTAAAGAGAGTATAGGAGGGGACTTCAAACTTGGCTCTTTTATGACTTGTGGACATGCTGGCTGAGGAATTCTGGGAGTTGAAGTCCACAAGCCATAAAAGGGCCAAGTTTGAAGACCCTTGGAGTAGAGGCTGGTGAAAACATAGCATACCGGTTGTAAGTAAATGGCTAAAGATACAGGTAGTCCTTGAGCCCAAAATTTCTCTGGCTAAGTGGGACATTTTGTTCAGTGAGTTTTGCCCCTGTTTTATGACATTTCTTGCCACAGTTGTTAAGTGAATTGCCGCAGCCACACGGTTGTTAAGTGAATCTGGTTTCCCCCATTGACTTTGCTTGTCAGAAGGTTGCAACCCGGGGACACTGCAACCGTCATCAGTCTGAGTCACTTGGCAAGCGTCTGAATTTTGATCCCGTGACTATGGGGAT